TAGGCCAATTAGACTTTATCAAAGTTAAACACCTGTGCATCAAAGATCATAATCAAGAAAGTGAAAAGATCATTTGTAAATCATATATCTGATAAGGGTACAGTAGCCATAATAAATAAGGAACCCCTACAAATCAGCAACAAAAAGACAAACAATTCAATCTAAAAATGAGCAAAAGACTTGAACATATATTTTTCCAAAGAAGATATTCAAAGGCCAAGAAGCACATGAAGACGTACATGACATCATTAAACATTATGGAAATGCAAATCAAAATGGCACCCAGAAGGATGGCTAAAGTAAAGGGAAAAAAAAGGAAAATAAGCGTTGGTGAGAATGAAGAGAAAATGGAACCCTTGAACATCGCTGGTGAGAAAGTAAAATGGTTTTTCTACTGTGGAAACAGTTTAGTAGCTCCTTAAAAATTTAAATGTAAAATTACCATAGGACACTGTAATTCTACTCTTAGGTTATCTATCCCAAATACCTGAAAACAGGTACTCAAACATTAATGCCACAGCAACATTATTCACAATAGCCAAAAGGTACAAACAGTCCAAATGTTCATCAATGAATGAATGGATAAACAAACTGCGATATTTCTTATAGAGTGAAATATTACCCAGCAATACAAAAGAATGAAGTATGGACACAAGCTATCATGTGGATAAACCTCCAAAACATTAAGTTAAATGAATGAGCCAGACATAAAACATCACAGAGTACATGATTCTATTTATACGAAATATCTGGAATAGATAAATCTATGGAGACAGAAAGCAGATTGGCAGTTTCCAGGGACTGTGGGGAGAGAGAAGGATGCAGAAAAACTGCTTAATGGACAAAGGGTTTTACTTCAAGGTGAAGAAAATGTTTTGGAACTATATAGAGGTGGTGGTTGCACAGTATTTTGAATGTACAAAATGCACTGAATTGTTCACTTTAAGTTCTTAATTATATGTATGTGAAATTCAACTCAAAACACACATATGCACACAAATTGTTTGTTAAATGAATTAAGTATTGAATAGCAGCAACAGCTCAGTTGAGGCTGGATGGTCATAAAGTTTCCTAGGAAAATAAGGCTCATCTTTCTGGTTGATGATAGCATCTGTGGTTTTTAAGAAATGATGACCTTGAAGTTTTGTAAGACAGTAGTTTCTAAATCTGAAAACTAAGCAAAGAGAAGGAATGAGGGGATGGACCCTGGCTGATATCACGTGATGTTTAGAGATCAGGATCTGTGGTGTGGACCCAGCTCCTCCCTTCAGAACCAAAACACTCACTGCCTCCAGCTGCCAGGAGTGTTGCAAGCAGATGGCTCCATAACTACATCCCTCTCCTGAAATGTACCTGGCCAGCTGTGGGAGATTTATCACCCAAATTTAGAGCCCTCCTTAGGTGCATAGGCAATCACTTGACAATGAAGGGCTGTAATAATACATTTCATATCATGGAAGTGCCCTGTGCTAGGGATAAATAAATGGACAAAATAGTGATGATCTATCTTCAGGACACAAAGTGTATCGATAATTAATATTAAATATGCCAAGTGATATGGTAAGAGCATACAGAAAGGGACCCTAACCTGCTCAATGTCTAGTCTAAGACTTAATGAATGACAGGCAAGTGAAGGGTGGGTTTGGAGAGTTCCAGGCGAAGAGAAGATCACACGCAAAGGCTAGTAACTACTGACAAATCCTACCTTCAGGAAGCTGAAAGCAGCTCGTTATGACTATAGCATAACAAAGTTAGAAAGGAATGTGGGTACCTAAAGGAGAAGAACCTCATAAGAAAGACAAAAAAAAAAATCTGACCTTGAGGATAATGAATTTCAAGGGAAAATATGAATGTATCCTTAGCCTGAGGAGGAATCTTTCATCAAAGAGGAAGATTTAAAAAAAATAAAAATTCTGACACAACTTTAAATTTATAATAATCGCAGTGTAACAGGACCTATCAGGACTAGCAGGTTTCCAAGCAAAATCATGAGTTACAATTACAAAATACATTTTACGATTGCCATGAATTGCAGAAGCAACATCCAAACACTTAGGTTGGGCAGACTAAAGACTGTATCATCAACTGTTCCTATGGCAACGGAATAGTAAAAAGTTTCTCAGCCACTTCGTACCTGCTGGCCATATTCCACTCCAGGGCTGGATTTTGAGAATTTCTTTCACTTTCTGTTAGCACCCCTCCTGTGCCACTTTCCTTCTCTGGTTTTAGTTGATCCCACTGCGCAGTACCAATGTTGATGGACTGCAGGTCTATTTGGTATTGTCTATCTTCAATTTCTGACCCAGGGTCTCGAAGAATTCCTAAGTTCAAGGCTCTCCTGTAAAGACAGCGGAAAAAAAAAAAGTAAACAGATAAAATAAGTTTTCTGTGTTTATCTTGTTCCCTAACATAATATCATTATCGTTCTTTCCTTTGGATTACTGGGTTAATCAAACCTATTAGGCAGGTATTAGAAAGTTACCGCATATTATGACTTGAAAATACATCCAAAACTGATCACTTATGGTATCTACCCTATAATGATTTCTTACATTATTCTCAGCATTGTGTTATTTCTCTAAGCACTTTCACATAATATGATGTCAATTCTTGAGATTTGCAAGGTTCTATTATTATTTCAATTTCTACTGAAGAGAAAATAATGCAGAGAGATTGAAAGACTTAGCCAAAGTTACTGAGCTAGTAAATCCAGGTTTTTCCAACTCAAAACACCCTGTCTTCTTTCCAATGCTAAACACCTACTTTCCCTTCCTCAGCACTCTGATGTCTTGTTAGGAAAGATGGTGAAGCCTTGCTGATTTATTTAACTCCCCTACCCCACGCCTTTGGTTCTTTATGTAACCCACTAACACAGAGACTAAACTGTTGAGAAGACTACATTGCTTACTGATGTAGAAACACAATTAAGGATTACTGGCCCATAGAGAGTTGGAACTTTGATCTTACTGGACCCAAGCTTAAGTAAAATAATAAAATTATCAGCAGCTTAAAGCTAAACTAAAAGAAGTAAATGGTTAAATTTTTCATGAAGGTTTTAGAGTGAAAAATAGCAAGGCAGTATCGTGAGTGGGAAGAAGGCTAATTGGAAGCCAGTTGAGCCTAGGCTTGTGTGAGTTGGGAACTTTTTAGTTATGTTGGCTCACAAATGCTTTAAAGTGAGTTATCAAAAGGAGAGTACCACTTGGCCTTTGTGAAAGTTTCAATCAACACAAAAAAATAAAATTATATAGGGGATAAAATAGCTTTACTAGCACAGACATAACTGTAGATGTCAGAAAAAATACAATTAAGTTAATTACATCAAGAGAACACTAATAAAACTGATTAGTGGAGGAAGAAGGGAGGGAAGCATTGGGTCCTAGTATGAAAACTATAGAGAAACAGTAAGAATGTGATCAAGACTATGTCTGGATCAAGACTAAGTAAACAGTGTGGGTCAGACCATGCCCAGAGACTGGTCAAACACTGATGGAAGGTGGATGACAACTGAGACTCAAGATGGCAGGAGTCTGGGCCAGATTCTCAGGCATGGAGATAGCATGCATTGGGCCAGGCAAGGTGAGGGCTGAGGCTAACAAATTCAAGTGAAGAGAGGAAAACGGAGAGGCCTGGAACAGAGTGAGCCGGCAGCTCAGGAAGGGAGATATCACTGGGTATTACAATCAGGGAACAGGAAAACAAACAGACATTGGTCAGAAGTCATAGTGGGAGCTAGAAAACAGAGAGATGGATTCTCATTATACCCAAGGTAAGAGCTGAACCTAATCTCCTTTTTCTTTTTTCTAACTTAGAAACATTACAATCTAGGAATGGGCATGCAAGAAAAGGTGCCCTAAAGTTTTATAATAACCCAAGAATTACATTAAGAATAGGGCCCAGAAAATGGGCTGTGAACACTTTCAATTTGCCTTAATGAAGGGAAAGAAAAAAAGGAGTGAATGAGGGTGCAGGTGGGAAGGAGTAACATTCTGAATATCCCTATTTTGGTAGAACGCTCTCCTTTCATTTGAATACTCAAATAATTCTGTTAATTCTAAAGGCTCAGCTCAAACTTCACTTTCTAAGAAGCCCTTCTTGACCACCATTTCTTCAAACTCCCTTACTCTCAAATCTCAGCTCTTAGGGTCTTTCTATATTTATAAATATAAGAACATCACAGTGACTTGTCAGTCTTTCTCAATATGACATAAATTTCTTGAAGACAGAATCTGTCTTCTATTAAACAATCAGTAAGTGCTGTTTCAATTCACTGATTTGAACTAATACAAATCTTTAAAAATCTCAAGTGAGGAATCAATCTATCTATAGCAATAAGAGTACAGAGTCTCCAGACAGGAAACTTCTGCTGCAGGACCACATAATCTCTGAAAGACAGAAAGTATCTTTGGCATTTGGTGGCCCAGCTGATTTCCCTAGATTATTGTTCCCCATATAAAAGTTACATTTACTTATTTTAAACTAACCAATGCTTTCTACATTTTAAATAAATTCCCTAAACCCATTTTAAAAAAGAGGACTAAAGCAACTTAATAATCCCTTTGAAGGACAGAAAAAGTCTAAAATAGACCTAATTGGAGTCCCAGGGAGATAGTACAGTGAGTTCTCATTCATGGAGGAACTACTTGAAGAGATAATGTTACTCTACAACTGTTGAAAAATGCCAAACCATAGATCCAGGCAGCCCAAAGAATCCCAAGAAGTAATATAAGGAAGAAACTGGTAAATATATGACTACACCTAAACAAACATTATCTTCAAAATATTAAATAATGCCAAAATTATGAGAAGAAAATAAGCTAAAAATAAGACACTGGACAATGACAGTATATAAACTAGGGGACCAGGTAATTTTAGGTAAAGTTTTCTAAAGTCCTTGTATTTGGGGAGGGGGGAAATGAAGACAAAGATACTAACTTCAGACTTTTTAAGTACATATGTGAAAACAGCTAGAGTAACAACTAAAATAATAGACATGGAACATGTAACTCTCAAGTAAGTGAAGTAAAAATTAGAATGCAAGCACAAAAATCAGAGAAACTTAGACAAATCGCTCATAATAAGAACAAATCCAAAGATAACTTCAATCAGAATAAATGTAACTAATTTAACTGTCCAATTAAAAGAGAAAACTGTCAGATTGGTTTTAACAAATCATAGTTTTATTTTGTTTTTTTAGGAAATATACCAAAAACTTCAGTGCACAGGAAGATTGAGTCAACAAATAGAAAAAATATGTATATATTAGGCCAAAAGAAAGTTGGAGTAGTTATATTGATATTTGACAACATAGACTTTAAGGAAAAAAATTATTTAAAATAGTTACTATCTAAATGTAAAAGATCAATTTGCCTGGAAATTAAGGCAATTTTGAATTTATTTGTAATAACATAATTAAAAAAACATATATATATATAAACCAGACATACCCACAAGAAGAAATTGACAAATATATCACCTGTAGTGGAAAATTTTAACCTACCTCCCTTAGTAATGAATTGAATAAGCATATTAAAAAAAGTAAAATAGAGAAAATTTAAAAAACATAAATACATTTGCTGAAACAGACATTTATAGAACACAGTATCCAACAACTAGAGAATACATATTTTTCTCAAGCATACCGGAATATTTACAGAAACCAGTCACCCAAAAGGCAATAAAGCTACTAGCCTCAACACATTTCAGTAGGTTATTATCTGATGGACTATATATTCTCTGAGTATAATAAAAGTAAGATATTTTATTAAAAAAAAGAGAGCCTGCAAAATTGCCTGTATTTGTTTAAAAACACACATCTATGTAGTCACTCACTGATCAAAACAATAATAAAAATTCAGAAATACTTAAAAACAAAATGTGCATTAAAAGTTGTGGAATGCAGCTAAAGTGGTACTTAAAGGGAAATTTATTGTCTAAAATGTTTGTTTTAGCAAAAAAAAGAAAGTCTCAAAGTTAATGAGCTGAACATTAAAAGGCAGAGTAAACCTTAAAAGAGGGAGGGGGAGGAAATAAGAGCAGAAATTATTGAAATAAAAAAGCCAGAGAAGATCAACAAAGCCAAAAATAAACAAACCTCTAGCAATTCAAGGACAAAAAAGAGATAAAGACAGGAGGCCAATAAACTACATTTGCAATAAAAACGGAAACATAACTATGACACTGTGGAGATTAAACAGATATTACGAGGATATTAGGAAGATTTATAGGAACAAAGATTTTACAATTTATTGTGGAAAAATATCTCTCCTGCTTAATCACTGCCCTAGAAGATATGTCTTATCCTTTTCACCATGGGACAAATATAAAAGTTGTCCTCTCATTTCTTCTACCAAATATAACCGTATGTCTATCATGGCTCTTTTTCTATATAAAAACAACTATTTGATATAATAGCTGGTGAAAAGTAACCATTTCCCTACTTCTCACCTCAGTCAAGACTGCCAAAAGGGTATCCTTCTATCTGAACAGCACTGTCCCCAATAAGAAAATTTGCATTCATTCATTCATTCAAAGGCTATTCAGTGGGCAAGACATGCTAGGTCCTGAGGACACTGGGTCCTGCCCTCACGCAGAGAGAGGACTTATAAAACAGTCAACATTATACAAGGTTAGGTACAGAATGCAATTGGAAGCACACAGGAGGGACTGCTGACCCAGATCTGGGGAGCCCAGGAAAGTGGAGGCAGTGTTTAAGGGAGTTCAAGAAAAGCTCAATCTCATTTAGCACAATGAAGAAAGTAGTGAGGCAGAGGAAACAAGAGGTTCAAAGGCCCAAAGTTGTGAGACAGCAGCCCATCCAGAAACCCTGAAGAGACTCTGAATGGTTGGAGTGGAGAGAGGCATGGAAGGAAGCAAAGCCTTATAAGGCTAGTGAGGCTTCAAGCCAAAGACAAGCCTTTCTTCACAAAGTGTCAGTGGCCTGTACTAGGCCCATCTCTGGGGGTTTTACCCTTTTACAGGTGTGGCCCACAGGTCAGGCTTGCCTAGCAAATTGGCATTTTCTCTTCTGCCAAGAAGGTTATAGAAATTATGGAGTAACAGTCAAGAAGAGGAGAAAGAACTGGGCTTCTATCTTAATTATAAAAATTAAGTGAGATAATATATAGAGAGCCTAGCACAAAACTTTCCACATTGTAAAAACCTCAGTAAGTGTTAGAAAATAAAAATCATTCACTTTGATTCACTCCTCAGCCTTTGTATAAAATGCTAAATAGACGTGAAATAACTGAAAAATTGAGAGGAAGAGAGACTCACTCAGATAAAGCACATATTAGGATTCAGAAAAAAACAGAAGCCTGAGCAGAGAGCATCACTGAC